TAATTCGGCATACATCCAAACGCCCTGTATATTGTTAACCCCCTTGTTGTTCCTACAAAATAACGAATATGTGTCAGAAACATCATAAAAAAAAGTTAAGATTTTGAAAGAACGTAAGTGCAAAAAACCCACATTGCTATTGTGTCAAAAATTGATTACTTAAAAAAAGTATTGTGACCTTAAATTTCAGAGAACACTTACAATGAATCTCCACTGCAATGAACACACACTTCTGGGAAAGATTTTTCCTTATTGCCATCTGGAATGTTAAATGTTTACAACAATATAACAATTATAAACAGTTTTTGCTTTTTTTTAAAATGAGTGGGAAAGTGCGATGCATTTCATGAAAAAATTAACCAGAAAATCACACCTTGTTGTCAAAACAAATGTATTGAGGGCACATAAAAGGGAACTTGTGAAGTCGAAAATGACCAAATGAATTGAAAAAAAACAAGGGCATATATATTTTCTGGTAAAGTAGTTATGTCTTTGAGAAATAAAAGTCCTCAAATTTGTTTGGCACCAACATGGAAGTAATGTGAAGGTAATTTGTATTGAATGACAGAGTTAACCATTATAAACAGCATATATTGTGTGTAAAAAATCTACTCACTTGTTCATTTGGATTGAAGCACCATGGCTAAACAGATCGAGTAAGGAGAACGCAGTCTTGAAGACAGTTTTACAACACACAATTCCCACCAAATCGTTCACAATTTTGCAAAATGCAATTGGTGTCTATATTATATTTCCAGCTGTTTCACATGCATCATCGCTCAAGTATTTTTGTAAACGAAATGGTGAGGCCTTCTACGAAAAAAGCGCTGACAGCTTTCACTGTGTACATCCTAAAAACCTGGAAAGATTAATTGAAAATATGAAATCAACAAATCTCAAACCAATTGCCTAGGTGAGATATCCTATACCCCTCAAACAAATGCCCACTGAACAACTCAAACCAGTACTTTTAATGTTTTCTTGATCAATGTAATGTAATTTCTTAACTCCACATTCGTGACCCAATAAATGTGGTATTTCTAAGAGAACAATTAAGATTTTCAATATTGAATTCGTATCTAACCATCACATTTCTCCACAGAATACTACAGATCAAAAAATTGATTGAAAAGTCAAAAATTATTTTGAACCGCCTAAACAATGACTTCAATTTTGTTTACATCATTCTACTACTTTTATTTACTCATTTTCATGAGGATTCTTTTGTCTTTACTCCTTTGTTTATCGTAACAGTCCTCACAAATATTAATAACATGTTTTATTGAAAACTTTCATTTCACTTAGAAATTCAATAAAAAACAATGAGTGCATTTAATTGATTTACATTTTATATTACATAATTCTGTAATCTAAAAATATCTTTAATTGTTACTTTTAATATCTATATATTTCAAATATTTTTGAAATTACTATTAACAACACCATATTTGGTCAAATCATACATGCTGCATCATATTAAGACTTAATGCTCAAAGTTATTATTAATATGGCTGAAATCCACTTTGGAACAAAAGAGCTGTAAAATGAAATAGAACGATATATCAAGGGACTTATGATCTTTGTGGTATGAATTTCAGTACTTATGGTTCATCACACAGGATCAAACATATTTGAAGAAGTATTAGTAACAATAGCAGAACTAAAACAAATGATGAAAATTAGTATTTATATTATTGTTTGCCCCTATGTTTATTTTTTTGGTTATTATGCTTATCTCCATTTCCCCAATGACATAATGGGACAAAACATCTTTCACTAAATTCTCAACCTTACACGAAGAAATTAAATTTGTAATTATATATCTTATTTAAAATTCATTAAAAATGTTAACAACCATCTTTCATACACACACGTCATTAAAGGTTGGGTTTACCAAATTTTTTTTACATACAAAATATGACTGATTGACACATGATGGGCATGCAGTGCATTTGATCACGTACATAATTCCAATGTGCAATTCGGATGAAGGAAATATGATATTTTTGAATGTACACAGAAATAATAAAACTTGAATTATTGAAAAATATTTTTTTAAACTCATTTTGAATTTCTTTAAATTATAAAGATTTTACCAAAAATCTACATTCAATTTAAATTTAAAAATTAAGTGTATGTGAAGAAATGAATCTGCCTTGGTATTGCATCTTGCTGGACAACATTGAAATAAGATGACTCTTACAAGTAGCCAAAGCTTTTATTTTTTGTCAACACCCTTTGAAAACTTGCTTACTTAAGTTACTTAAAATGCAGCTCACATTCTGATTACTATGCGAATAAAACTAAAAACAATATTGTAGGCAGTAACATATATTTCCTTGAGATCACCATTATTAACAGGACAATTCAATGAAATTTCTTCCCCCTAATGTTATTAGATTGGCGGGCGGAGCTGGTAAAAGTGGTAACTTTTTGTCCAAAATGGTATGACAACCAGAACATGCGCTTCGATTACGATACTTCATTTGTGTGTGGGGGGATAAATGACATTTCAATCAGTGTCCATTAACCATTTAATGGGCAAAATTGAAATGCCATTTATCCCTCTACACCCCAATCATAGGTTCTTTAAAATAAAAGCCAATTCCTGCATAGCTAATGTTTGGACCAAAAAACTTGACTTATCCCCTTTTAACATACGCCTTGCCAATTTATATGTTATATCAAACAGTTTGTGGAACAGTATCTTAAACGATGTACATATATTCATAGGGTTATTTTTAATGATGAGGATGTACTAAGATAGTGAGAAGAAGATGAGACTAAACAAATATCGAAATCATTGCCTAAAAAAAATTTAGATAAATTGAATCAGCTATGAACATACGAAAGTTAATTTATAACTAAAGTAAATCTTGTTTGTATGCGCAATTATGATAACCTCCATTGCAATAAAAGCAGCAAGAGCAGCCATGGAAAGAATTCAGGCCATGTGGCTATGATGTCAACAATGCTTAATAAACTTACTTTAATACAAGCCAATAGACTATTTAGATATGCTGATCTATACATTTTTTGCTTTCCATTTTTTAATTATCTCCTTACCTTCTTTTTCATTATGCTGTTAAACGGGCATTGTCATAGCTCATTTGATTATATATTATATATTATATATATAGATAGATAGATATATAGATATATATTATATATATATTATTATAGTATTATAGATAGATATATTAGATTATATATATATATAGATAAATATATATAGATATAGATATATATATAGATATATATATAGATATATATAGATATGTATATATTATATTTTCCTTTATGAAGGAATGAAAGTCTTTCAACGTATATTTGAAAGATCAAATTTTTTACTTGCAAAGAATTTTCATCTAATTTATCCAATATAAACATTCTACCCCAAATATGCAAAACACCCATCTAAAGTAGCAAACTACTTCACTTTTATCAACACTAACTTTATCTGTTTTTTATTTTAAATCTTCAATGGATCTTCATAATTATTAGGTGTAGACCAAAGACAAAGGCCATTGATTATTAAAATTATTTTGTTTGCAATTCTACTGTCCACTTTATTTAGAAGAAACAATTTTCCTTGAACACACGTGACTTTTTAAAATATTACAATTAAATAACTAAGTAAGAAAATGATATTTAGAAAATAAAGATTATAAATGCTCAGCAAATTACGAGAAATTGGTAGTTTTTTAACGTCAAACTGTTAATGAACATTAAAAAAAAAATTAAATTAAAAATAATTTTACTTTTAATCACAAATACAACTAATTTTAAGTTAATTATAATTGTTATTTTCATCTTCATGAATATGTATGTCTTAAATAATTTCTTCTTCCAATGATTAATATAACGTTAAAAAAATAACTTTATGTGTGAATGAGCCCTTAAAGAATTTTTAAAAATGAAATAAAGAAAGAGAATGTAAACTTATTTTATTCAAAATATACCAAAATAACTAACAGCTAAGCACTTACTACAAGAATTAAGTAATTTTTTTCAGAAAGAATAAGTAATGTTCAATTCTAAAAGCACAACCGTCTGACAACTAGGTTAATACTTTGTCATTAACACTGAATGTTCTGAATTTCATGTAACAAAACCTTCATAGAGCTAGCTGTGGGGAATGAATGGAGAAGTATGACTGTTTTCATAGGATAACTTAAAATGTGCATTTTAATATTTTACTTGTTCATGAAAAAATAAAAATAAATGCATTTTTATATCCCTGA